CAGGCATCTTCCTTGCCATTTGTTTTCTCTCTCACTTTCTAGGTGATTCTATGTCCTTATATGGTAAATAAAATTCATTCACTATACGCTGGTGACTTCTAAATTCATACCTTAAGGCCATAATTCCAACTACCCTTTCAAACCAAAATCTACCTGCATATTTAATCAGCTCCCTCAGACTCAACATGTCTGAAGTTGAATTCATTGTTGCTAAATCTCAATTTCTTCCCCCCGTGAAATTCCTCTGGTAGTTTGTGGCATCATCACCCACCAATCACCACATCTAGAGACAGGGTAATCACCACATCTAGAGACAGTGCTGGGTTCACACTCAATGAACTATTTGTTTTTCAATAAGTTTCAGAGATTTCTCTGATTCATTCCTTTGTTTTCATCTCCACAACCTCAACCTTTCACTAGGTCCTCTTTACCCGGACAGTGGCAAAAGTCACCTAAGTAATGTTTTCTGACCCAAGTTTAGCCAACCCTGGTTCCAGGAACATTTAAAAAAAAATACAACTTTTTTTCCTTAAAATACCTTCACCACTTAGCCATTGCTTACACAATGACAATGGGGCATTTTAGCATAGGCAGCATTTCTCAACTGTTTTCTGCCTACTTTCTCCACTTTGGGTTCTTACCCCTAACCCAGAGAAGTCCTGGATTCCAGTCTTACTTAACATAACTTCCTGCCTCTCCCAGCACCATGCTCTTCATGCTTCTGGGGCTTTGCAAATACTATATTCACTCAATACCCTTCTTCTGCTGCAAACACCCAAGAAAAGGAGCAAATTACCAAATATAAGTCCATGAAAGGGTTCCTCACAAACCATACCCACAGTTATGGAGAACAACCAAAAAAGGAAAACAGCGCCTTTCCATAGACTCCACACCAATATGCTGAGATGACAGTAAGAAGCCCTGTTGATCGCTAAGATTTAAATGTCCCTGTGTCAGACAAAAACAACAACTTACCTTTGTTCTTTCCTGCTTCATGATACCCTTTGATTGTTCCAGTTGTGGTGCATTCATGAGCTCAGAATAACACAGTAATTTGAAATGATTAAAGTAATAAGACCTTCATTCATTCCATATCTGTCCATATCCTATCAATTATTTCTAATTGTGCCTCGCTGTATGACAAATGAGGTATCACAGGTCCATGCATACCATGAAATGAACTTTACAGAAAGCTAGTTTTTAACCCTATTTGTCACTCTACTACCTGTTAACTTCAACTTCTCTGCACATACAAACTATGAGCTACTTCCCCTTCTTTCTCTAGCTTCAGTTTTAGAGACACTGGTAATGATGTGGTGATTCAAACATGGAGCAGAACTTTGTTTGAAAATTATATACTCCCAGACAATACTTGCCCAGCATTCTGGTAATGTTTATGAACTATCCTTGGCCTTGTTTCTCTATTTCTTTATCTCTCCTAGCCCTGGCATTGGCAGACAAAACTAAAAATAAAGGTAGACCAATGGAACATGAAGACTGCTTTTCTTGCACATTAAACACACTTGTAAGCAGCCGACAAGCAATTATAAATCCTCTATACATTTTTAGATAAGTATTCTTTAGGATATATGAGGCCCCACCAGTTTTTCTCTCCTGGACTCTCCCTGCTAAAGGTCCATTGCATTGACCCCAATACATTATCTGAAAAGAGACAGCTTTGACATATTTCCAGTCTTCCCCAAGTTTTATCTACATTCCTCTACTCACAACTTGTTCCCTTCTATTACTTTCACTTTTGGTCATATCCTTTTCCCACCTGCAACAGTCTGTTGATCTACAGCCATCTCTTAAGCAAGATTCGAACTTTGAGAAGGTAACTCCAATTAAATCATTCTGTTCTCTTTCATTTGTACTATGTCTGTTGGTCTACTGGAGGACCTCTTAGCCCAACTACCCAATAGAATCACCTGGAAAGTTTGGTAGAAGATACTGGCAATCAGACCCATTTCCAGAGATCCTCACTTAATCAGTCCAAAATGGTACCTCACACTGGTATCCTTAAAGCTCTTCAGGAGATTTCACTAGGAGCCAGAGTTGAAACCAGCAGTAACTTTAGTCTGTTCTAAAACAACAGCTCAAATAGTATGACATCATAATATCAGTAGATTCTTTTTGGAAATGATTTTTACTTGCATTATTTCAGAATCTTCATGGGAACATGTGTTATTTTAAAAAGCCCCTTCCTAATTCTGATTATGTCCCAATTTGGGGGAGCTATCCCTTCATTACCCATGTTGAGAATAATTATTCTACAAACAGACAAAGCTAAATTCTTTACATGATACTCCTGGCTCTTCAGAACTTGACCCCTACCTACTTTTCCAGACACATCTCTATTCTTTCCTTGTTGCCCCAGTACAGCTCATATGTATGATCAACTTCCGCATCTTCATGCTTCTGCACATGCTGTTTCCTCTACTGAAGACACCTTTTCTCTCCATTTTCACTTAGTGGAAACAACAAAGAAATATCCAGTAAAGCTCAGCTGAACCTTTTCTTGATTTTTCTTAATAAGTTTTCCTTTGTCTTTGTTGCCAACAAACTTTCTAGGTTCATACTACATGACAATCATTTATAAGTTTATCTTCTTCGCAAATCTGAACGCTCCAGGCAGTGGGGGACCACACCTTATTCATGTTTAAACTTCCAGAACATTACACACTCTTTGGCTAATCAGTGATCCACAACTGCTTACTGAATTGATGATTTTTTCAGCTGAAAATATGAAGACTTCCTTGATCTTCTGTATTACCCACACAGGGACACTGGAAGCTCCAAAATACAATTAAAAGAGATCAAAGTCCCCTTCTATCTTTGATAATCCCATGTACAGCGTAAGTGATAAGGCCTCATGATCATCACTTCCAGACTAATGCAAACTGTTCAGAGCAGTCACACTATTCTGTTTTCTGCCCACTTTTCCCATTTTTGGCCATGAAAATTCGGATGAAACATTTAAGTTTTGTTTTTAAATAAAGGTTCCAAACATTGATGTAAATCATATTTAGTTTTAATAATTCAGAATACTTGATAGACAAGTGTTCTACCCACAGCAAGTGCAGAGGATATTCCCATACATATCATAAACTGTCCAGTAGAACTTAACCACATCTGTGATTCTAATCTGATTAGGAAATGGGCTTTGGGTAACTCCCCCAGTCTCCTCTGGGGCTGGCTCTCCTTCACCTACCAAATCCTCATTAATTTTTAATATCCTCCACCTTACCACTGCTTAGAGATAGCATCGAAGGAACACAGGGTACTGAAACCCAAGCAACAGAGGGAAACTTTTGCTTGTCTGGTCTCCACAAGCATGTCTGTCAAAAAGAAGATGGAAAAGTGCCTACTGATGAAAGACACAGTGTTGGTGCCAAGCACTGCAGAAAAACCACCCTTTGGCATTTTGTTGTTATGAACATTCTCTCTCAGGGGTACTGCCAGGTCCAGTAAAAAAAGAAAAGAAAAATCAGGATATCTGCTGCACAACTTTAGTAAGCCAATCTTTTTCAGGGACTGTTCCAAATTCTACATTCATGGGTTGGAGAAAGCTAGATAGCTCCTGGGGGCTGGGCAGAAGCACAGTAAAGCTTCACCACTTCAGAAAAGTGTGGTGTGAACATAGAGAAGGGAAGGAAAGAAAAATAGGGCTGAAGAATACAAAACATCTCAAAGGGCTGGGATTCCATTCTTACAGAATGACTGGGCAAGGCAAGAAGGTAGTGGATTTTTGTCTTTGGATGTGTGAGCAACTGGGTCCTTTCTGGGTTTTTATTTTTGAAGGCTGCATAAGAACTTCAATAACCCCTTATTTAATTGTTTTATCTTTGCTACTGCAGAAACAAAAGTCTCCACTAATAAAAAGAATGGCATTGGGTTTGATGAGAACCCCATAAATTAACAATAACTGGTTTTAATTAACTGTTATCAATAATTTTTTCTTATCAGAAATAAAAGCACATCAAGTTACAAGCAAAAGGGCATCTCAGGGACACTCAGAAACATGAGGCACATCTGATATATCACTGTAATTAGAACTTACTAAGAAGGATAAAGAAATAGAGAAACAAGGCAGGAAAAGAAGGGGAAAAGACAATTGATAGGATAAAATAGCACTAAAGTTGCCTCGGGAGTAAAACCCAGCGCATGAAATTCTAAAGAGTACAAAGTGACATTACATCAGTAAAAATGTGTAAAAATGGTTTGCTCATCTGCCATGCGGATGCTCAGTGAAGACCAGGGTAAGAATGAAATGAGCATGGAGAGCACTGTGCCTGGGGCTTTCATTTAGCCCTTGCAACTCAGTGAGGCAGACTTGGGGGGTAAGGTGGGGAGACCTGTGTAAATTCCCACGAAAGGAAAATGGATACAAAGAATGCAAATCCGGTGTGAGATTCAAATTCATATTCTTTCCACTGTGACATGTTGAACTGATTACAAATGACTCCTCAACTTGAAAGTGAATAAATTAACCATGATAACTAATAATAATTAATGACTAATAATATTACATATCACCATTATATACAAATCTTTGTAACACATTTGGTATTATATCAAAGCATATAATTTTGGCAATCACCTGAGAATTGCTGATCTTTTTCCAGATGGAAAAAGAGGAGCATAAAGTAATTAAGAAAACTGCTAATAAGAAATAGACTTCAAGTCTACTATTCATCTTACCATTCATTTTTAATATTTTTAATGTTATGAAATCAGGATACTAACACAAAAATAGAAATATTTTTAAAAAATATCTGTCTTCTATCTTTCTGAAAAATAATTGGAGTCATTAAATGAATAATAGATATGAAATTGTTTGGTTCCCAGGTATATAGTGGGAAAAGCATTGGCTAAGTATCAAAAACCTAGCCCCTTCTCCTGGCTACCTCAGTCATTGGCTACTTGCCATTAGCCAACTTTTAAATTTCCTCTTAGCTTCATTTTATTGACTGAAATTAGAGGTTTAAGATTTAACCACTGTGCTCACTTCAGCAGCACATATACTAAAATTGGAACGACTCAGAGAAGATTAGCATGGTCTGTGTAAGGATGACATGCAAATCCGTGAAGCATTCCATATGTTAACAAAAAGGACTTAACCTCCAAACTTTCCATTAGTTCTAAAAATTAATAATTTCCACACCCAAGACTTCATCAAATTTCATTCTCTCACAACTTCCTTAAATACAGTTCTATTCATGAAACTGTAAAGCATAGCATTATTTAATTCATATAATAAGAGTCTCAATTCAGATGAAATGGAACACTGGGTTTGAAAGGCAATAATTTTAAGAATTAAGTACAAGCAAATATAACTATGAATAGTCACCCTAGGAAAATAGGAACAAATGTTGGAAATCTGCTCTTAAGTTCTTACTTGGGACCCAGTACAAAAGAAGATTGCCATCAGAGTGCGTTTTGAGAAATTAAAAAAAAAAAAAAGAAAAGAAAAGAAAGAAAGAAAGAAATCATTCCTCATGGGGAATTTCTGTAACATTTTATTTCTAAGTTATTACTATCACCAAATATAAGTCACAGAATGGATATACACACTGGAGTAATCCATGGAAACAACTTTCAGCTTCATTTTTCCAAAATGTAATTCCCAATCTAATGAGTAAACCCAAGACTGCAGATTTTTAGGCAACGAGCCAACACTACTTCCTTCTCTAGTGAGAGGACTAGTAATTTTCTGCTGAATTGCCATTACTAAGCTAGAGGTAGCCCAGAGCGGTGGGACCCATTGAAGATCACATGCAAGGTCAGAAACAACAGAGGATGAACTCTGGCCCTGACAACTATGACAAACTAGATTATACAAGGAATTATGGCAATCATTTTAGTATTTTCCTCTGGGTGATTCATCTTGTCTGAGAAAGGATACTATACTGTGGCTCATGCCCCATCTGTCCAATAGCATCATTTTGGAAATATGATGTGGTATCATTTAGAACTCAATTATGTTTGCCTAACATACTCCCAAGTTTGTGTTTTCTTTTTATTTTATTGGAATCTGGTAGGAACTATAAACTATTTGGTCAGTTATACAGAATTATCAAATGAGGCCAGATCATATCAAAAGGAGCCAGTTATTGAGGGTTTTTCCCCCCGATATAAAAGTAAAGATGAAACTTATGTGTAAGAATCTAGGATTACTGCCTAGAATAGAGTTTCCATATCTTTACAAATCATGTAGGCTCTTCTGGTAGCAAGAGGAGGCTCTGGGGAGTGGCTGTGACAATTCCTACTCGTGGGCTTACTCTTCAAGGTGGTATTGTCTGTTCCAGGCTGACTCTACACACACCCTCATTGTGTCAAAGATGACTTCGCCACCATTTACTCTCCAAACAAGTTTGAATGAATATCTGCTATATACGAGGGCTTCTGAAAATAAGCTAGCTATGATTCATACTTTGAGAAGTGTATATTCTAGCTGAAAATAGCAATGTAACCATAAGTTATGTCTGGTCTTCAGGACAGCTGAACTGACATGAGTTTTCCAGTATGATTATTACTAGTGCTATTATTAATATTCAGATGTACTGTTTTCCTTAACAACTGCAGAAAATTAAAGAGCTACACAAGTCAATTCATTCAGCAAAGGCGTCACAGGTCAACCATGTTGCTTTCATTACACAAGCAACAAGCCATTCTCAGGCCCAAACTCCCATATACTTCCACTGAGTTTCTGTCCATGAGTAAGCCAAGAGGTATTTGGCTTCCTACCTTCATTATTTGAACAAATGACCAATGATGTGTGCCTAGGCCACAACCACATTCTACTAGCCACTTTGGGTCTTCCCAAGGATTAGTCACATGGTAAATCTGCCACTGAATAGGTTTTAAATTATAGGCCAATCAACAAAGAAAACAAGAAAGTTTATGTGTTTTTCATTAGGCTCTGGGTTGCGACCTAAGATGCTTCCCTTAGAGGAGGCTGGGAAAGGAAATGTCTTGAATTTCCAAAATTGCTCACTAGAGCCAAAAAGCACACTCATTGTATAATACGTAAGTATAGCAGCCAGAAGAGGTTCAGAGAATCAAGAACAGTCTTCATTCCTTCAGTAATGGACCCAAGGAGAAATATTTTCTGCTATACTTTTAGAATCTGGGTCAGGTAACATGAAAAAAACCACTGTGGTCAGAGAACCTGGATGCAGAGTGAACTTAAATTTGTTTCATATTCTTATTTTCTTCTTTGAAAAGCAAACAAGTCAGAAGATCAGGGGGCTTATACACTAGGTTTTAAGGACTCACGGAGGTGTTTCAGTGATTCTGCAAACACTTAGTTTTCATGAGATGAGATTTTTTAAAAATTTTAACCTTAAAAGCAACTGTGACTGTAAAAGCTATACTCAGTATGTATACGTTTGGATAATGCCAGTGTATCTACACCTACAATGTGTGGGGTTTGTGGGGTTTTTAACATTTTTTTTTTTGTTTGCAGTCTTTGGAATACCAGGTTTCTCCTAACATCTTTCCAGACCTATTTGGATGCCTTGAGTACTGTTTCATTGGTGAGGAAAGTTGTAGCTGCAAGGGTCTCTTTTCTTTCCTTCATTTCCTTTTTCTATTTATGAGCTTCTGGGCTCATATGTACACCACTGTAGCATGTGTACCTTCTTAACTAAGCCAAAGGGTGTGCAATGACTAGCAGGTGAACAGGTACTGTGCCAGGTGAATAGCTACCATGCCAGACAACTACAGCAGAATTTCTTACATGGTGCTGTTTGAGAGAGAGATGTTTATGATGAAAAGAAAAGTTCTAGCAGTTCTTATTTCTTTAAAAAAAAAAACATTTATTTTTTAGTTGTAGGTGAACACAATACCTTTATTTTATTTTTATGTGGTGCTGAGGATTGAACCCAGAGCCTATTACATGCTAGGCAAGCACTCTACCTCTGAGCCACAACCTCAACCCCAGTTCTTAATTCTTGCTGGTTCAACTATAAAATAAGATTTTCCTGTGATTCATGTTTTAATCTGAAGGTTTATTTTGAGTAGAATACTGGAATTATAAGGAAAATATATTTTTTAAAAAAAACTGTTTCCTTTCATAATTCCATGTTTTGTAAAATGTGATTTTAGAGATTTTTCTGTCAGTAAAGTATACCACAGAAATTAATTGGATGCTGTTACTAATATAAGACTCAACAATAAACATCCCTAAATTCAACTTTGCATTCATCAAAAAGACATCTAAATTAAAACATATGAAAACATGCTTGTGTCCCTGGGTTAGGGAAAGAGTCCTTAAATATACCACCAAAAATGCAATCTTTTTAGGGTATGTTAATCAGCTTGATTTAGCCATTCCACAATGTATACATACATCAAAATATCACATTGTACAACATACATAAATATGTTTGTCAATTAAAAGTTTTTAAAAGAAAAATTTATTTAAAAAATAAATTGCAATTTTTCAAGATTAAAATCTTCTGTCTTTTGCAAAACACTATTAAAGCAGAAAATGAGTCTCTGACCAAGAGGTATATTGGAAAACACATATCTGACAAAGGAATTTTTGTTTAGAGCATAGAGAGAATTATTAAAACAAGCTAAGAGTACAAACTATTCCCACCCTCCAAATGGGTAAAAAATTTGAAGAGGAAATTCACCAAAGAAAAGAACATATGTGGTCAGCAAAAAAGCAATAAAGATTCTCAACATCACAGGGAAATGCAAACTAAAATCTCAATATGATATCATAACACATCTAATGGAAGAAAGGAAGGGAAGGAGGAATAGAGGGAAGGAGAGGGAAAGAAAAAAAGAATGGAGACTAACCAACCAAACAATAACAAGTGCCAGTGAGAATATGGAGCAGCTAGAACTCTCAGATCACTGAAGGAATTTGGAACTGGTACAACTGCTTTAGAAAGAAGTTTTCCCATCCTTATGAAGTTCAATATACACTTTCTATATTATCTATCAATCCCATTCCTAAGTAATTGCCAAAGTGAAGAAAAAACATTGGTTAACATGGAAATCCATACATCAATGTCCTCCACAGGTTTATTAATAATCACCTGCAATGGTTAATAGCCTATGTCAACTTGACTGGGACATGGGGTATCTAGATATTTGTGAAGTATTTATTATTCTTCATGTGACTGTGAGGGTGTTTTGATGAGATTAACATTTAAATCAGTAGACTGAGTAAAGCAAATTGCCTTTCCTAATGTGGGTGAACTTCATCCAATCAGTTGAAGGCCAGAATAGAAGGAAGAGATTAAACTTTCCCTAAGAAAAAAAAATTCCTCCTGCCTTATGACCTTCAAAATGGGATGCAAACTTTTTTCCTGTCTTCAGGCTCAAACTAAAACAATGGGTCTCTGGGTCTTGATCTTCCAGCCTTTGGATTGGAACTATACCATTAACTCTCCTGGTGCTTGAGCCTTTGTATTCATATAGCTACATCATCAGCCCTGATGGGACTTAGGACATATCAGCCTCCATAACTGTGTGAGACAATTCCTTACAATAAATCTCTTTATATATGTTTTTAAATATGTGTGTGAGTATACACACACCCATCCTATTAGTTTCATTTCTCTGGGAAACATCAACCAATACACTGCCCCAAACTGGAAACCACCCAAATCTTCTTCAGCTGATGAAAGGATAAACCAACTGTGGTATATGCACAAAGTAAAATTCTACCCAGGAATGGGTGACTGAATGAATTTGGATGAATCACAAATGCATTTTATTAAGTGAAAGATGCTGATCTCCAAAGCTTACATCCTGCAAAGTTCCATTTATATTACATTCTGCTAAAGTCAAAACTATAAGGACAGAAAACACATCAATGGCTGTCAGCAGTCTGAGGTCAGGAAAAGGGTCATCATCCATGGGACACAGGGGGATTTTTTTTATGATAATGAAAACATTCTATATTTTAATCATAGTATTATTATGTGAACACAGGTTTGTCAAAGCTCAGGACAATTCACTTAAAAAAGGTTATTTTATTGTATGTAAAATTATATGAATAAAAAAGTACCCTAAAGATTGACATCATAGTAAGTTAAAGATAGGTACACATAAGTACATTTATATAAATTTAAAACAGTGAATA